AACCCACTAGCAATAAAGAAAATAATATCTCACTTTTCAGTTCATCCTTAATGTCACATCCATCATATCCTTAATTTAATCACCATAAAAAGGACAAGGAGTTTAAATTATGGAACACCTATTATGTACTTTCCTCAGTTGCTTGTTACTATACATATCTTATGGGCATGAAATTGTTTCAGCTTACGTGTTGGCAGTCTTAAGGAACATAAGAGAGTATCAAAAGAAAATATAACCTGAAAGTGAAAAGATCATTCCTGTGAAACTTGAACATTCTTCTTTTAACAATTTTCATTATTTTGTCCCCCTTATTTATACCTTTTGGTTTCAATAATAGAAAGCTGAATTTTTAGAAGTGCATTACTTCATTACTTGAACACACTTTAGTGGAAAGTTGTTCAGAGTTTTAGTTATAAGATCACATGGTGATAACTGGGCCAAGAGATAAGAGATTGGGTTGTTTACTGAGGCTGTTTGCTACTGCAAAATTTGAACCTTGACTGTTTTTGCTCTCTAAGAAAGAGAAAAGAATTACAGAGTAAATATACCTGTAGTTGTTTGCAACAGTGAGAATATCAGCCCCCTGGAAGGAATTTAAATGACATTCATCCCCAATTGGAAGCGTTAATGTACTTTGTAAAGTAAATTTATTTATTTAATTATTTGTGATCTATTTGATGGCAGTCAGTAACTCAGACTATACAGTGTATGTCTGAAGTCAAGCAGGAAGCACATTGGAATGTGTAATTATCAGAGATGAAGATTACAATCAGAGTGTGAATGATGCAATTGTTGTAATGTAATTGAGACTATTTGAAAAACTGAATGAGGTACACTGGACTTAAGCATTGCCATATGAAAAGCATTGTGTTAGGTAAAGGTCAAGTTATCCCTGTGCTCAACTAATTAAGTACTATACCATGATGAATGTATAGACTCACATTATCTTGACCATAGTACTTGTTGGAGATGAGCGGTCAGCTTCATGCCATGGCTGCTTTACCTCCGGGTAAGTGTTGCCGGGTACCCATTGGATAGGAGAGTGCTTCTCAACCGCCGGGCCGTGGCCCAGCAGTGGGCCCTGGCATCAATTATACTGGGCCACGAGAGGCTCTTCTGGAATTTGTCATTTTTATTTTCTAAGCATTTTTCATGAATAAATATTTTATAGTGGAAATATTCTAAGGAGAATAATATTTGGGTTGAGAAGTCCGGACACAGAACACCTAAATCTGTGTAGCAAACGTCAGTGACCAAGCTGCATATTTTTAAACGTGGAAGTATGCATGAATGACCGGGAATTTTCAGACATTCAAATCTTTCAACATTCGGGAAAGGCAATACCGATGTTTATGACCAGTCATAAAATTTGCCTGCAAGCCAATTACAACAATGGGCGGCATATCCTCTGTTATCAGAACTGAGCGAAATAACATCTGTGTTGCAAATGTCAGTGACCAATCAGTAAGGAAGTATAAAGAAAATGCTTCCACTGAAACTGAAGATCAAGGCAGTCTGTATCCGGTTCTCACATCTAGTAATATTGAATACTGTTTCTTCGCAAGTTCGCATTGCAATGTGTAAGTGCTTGTTTCGAAACCTGAGTGATTTACATTTTAATATGAATAAGAGACAGGGGACTTGTTTAATTTTGGTGTTAAGAAATCTCGTATTGAAGGTGTTTGTGACGCAACAAGTAGTGATTCATTCACCTCAAGCCTGTATAGCGATCTCCAGGATGTACAAAATGAAGGGAAAACCACCAGCACACAGAAGAAAAAGTCTGCATCCATTTGTAAGTTCATGGACAGCTACTTAAAATTTGGTTTCATACAATGCCCTAACACTGACCAATTCCCACGACCTCAATGTGTCATTTGTGCTACTGTTCTGGGAAATTAAACTATGAAGCCATACCCGACATCTCAACACAAGACATTCTGATCTAGTCAACAAACCCATTGAATTCTTTGTGCGTAAAAGAGATGCACTTGAAGTAGAAAACAAAATTATTTACCAAGCTTCAGCTACTGACACTTCACTTTTGACGGCATCCTATCTAATATCACTACAGATATCTAAATGTAAAAAACCATATTCCATTGGAGAAGAACTCATTAAGCCTTCTTTGATTGCTGCTTGTAATGAAGTATTAGGCCAGTCTGTGGCACGTAAAATGAAAGACATCCCATTGTCCAATGATACAGTTGGCAGGCGGATATATGATAAGGCAGAAGATACAGAAACGCAAGTCACTGAAAAAATAAAAAAATCGAAATTATTTGCATTACAACTGGACGAATCTACAGATATTCAGAACAGCAGCATTTTACTTACGTATTTACGATATATTGACCATGATGAGAGTGACATGAAGGAAGACATTTTAAGTGTTTCTGAATTACCTATGCACACTATATGCAGTGAAATTTTCAAAGTTTTAATGCTATCATTGAACAGAAAGATCTCAAATGGAAATAATGGATTGGAGTTTGCACTGACGGCACTGCCTGTCTTACAGGTAGAAATTCAGGTTTGGTCACTAAAATTAAGGATATGGCAGGCAATAACTTAGTGTCAACGCATTGCTACATTCATAGGCAAAACCTGGCCTCCAAAAAATATGGCACCTGAGTTTAATGAAGTCCTGTCTCAATCTTTTAAGATTATTAATTGTATAAAAATAGTGCTTTAAATACAAGACTGTTAAAATCATTGTGCGATGAAATGGGCTCTGATCATCAAAATCTTCTTTTCCATTCGGAAGTTCGTTGGTTGTCCCGCAGTAAAGTTCTCAAGAGGTTATGAGCTCTTTCTAATTGATAAGCAAAGTAGCCTGTCCCATTATTTCCAGGATAAGGAATGGGTAGCCAGGCTGGTGTATCTGAGTGACATATTTTCTTACATGAACGAATTGAATTTAAAACTTCGAAGTCCAGATACAACAATATTTAATGCCTGGAACAAGATTGAATCATTCAAAAAGAAACTCAAACGCTGGCTTAACATGATCGCAAAAGGAAACAATGAAATGTTTCAGTCATACTCAGATTATATTATGGAAGCAGATGATTTCTATTCACAGAATTCAGTTTCAGATATTATTGCAGCCCACTTGAAGATGATATTGTTGTTTGAAAAATATTATCCCGAACATGAGGATACCTGGAGGCAAAATATGTGGATTGTGAACCCTTTTGTTGAACACAAAGAGACAGCCCTTTCCCATGAAGAAACCCTTCAACTTACTGAATTATCATTGGACAAATGATAGGAAAGTACTTTTAATACTACGAGTAATTCGAAATTCAGGATAAGAATGAAAAATGAATATCCAAATTTACATGAAATAGTAGTGAGGTTTCTTCGTTTTTCCACCACATATCTTTGTGAAACTGCATTTTCTGCCATGACTGTGCTTAAATGAAACAGAGGAACTGCCTGCAACTTTCTGACTGTCTCCATTTGGCTCTCACTTCAATTCATCCCAGAATTAATAAGCTAATGGACGGAAAACAGAAACAGAAGTCTCACTAGCCTTACTAAAACCTTCCAAACTCAGTTGTGATAAAAGAAACTAAGTTTAACTTTCCAATAACTTATAATTGCTGTGTTAAAGTGCTGCGTCTTTAAAATCAAATTTAATTAGTGTTGGAAGTAGTGTTTAGAATTGAGAGATTCATACATTTTTATTTATCAAATTACATACTTTACATATATAATTATTTGGCGTGTGTATGTGATAATAAGTGTTTCGCTGGCAAGTTGACATCCTTCTGCTTCTTCCCCTACTCATCTGACTTCTATGGTGAGTTACAATGCATTAATATTTTTCTCACTGCCATTTTTTTTTCAAACTAACATCATTAAAATCAATTTAATAATACAATAATCAATTTTATGCTGAATAACATAAGTTTTGGGTGATCAGAATGGGTTATGTCAATGAAAATTAGCACAAATTAATTTAATGTTGTTGGTCTGAGGAAACTACAAAATGCTACAAGATTTCATTAGTCCAGTGATTGATAACTAATTTAAATGTAATTTTATGTTTGTCAACATGCCACACCATATACATAAGTGTACTAATACTCTTTATGATAATGCTATAATTAATTACTAGTATTACGTTAGCTTAATGCATGAACTTTAATAAAACTGGAAAGGTATTTACGAGTAAATTTGTTGGGACTGGGCCCTCATCTTATAAAAACAGAACTTACAGGGCTGCGGTCTCATAAAGGTTGAGAAACACTGGGATAGGAGACTACTAGAGGCTGGGTGGGCCCCAGAGCCTGTCTGGACAACATGGAGAAGGGCGAATTCTTTACCTTACCGGAATTCGAACTCTGACCCATTGGTCATTCAGTCCATAGCCTGTCACTACACTGACCACACTATCCCAGTTGTAAGAAGAATGTTACGTTGCTTAATACCAAAAACACATCTGGCAGATGTCAAGCATAGCCTGTAAATAGTTAAATATATTACTCTGAAGGGGTCTATCTTCTGGGATATAACACATGTAGTCCATTGATAGTCAACTGAACTTTTGAAGAAAAGTCACTTTCATCTTTACTCTAAAAAAACAAGTCATGCACACAACCAGAATGAAGCATCAATAAAAAGGTAAAATTGTTCCTGTGCTTAACTAAGCACAATGCCATGAAGGTGTATGGGGAGTGAATGTAGAGGCGAACATTTTCTTGACTCTGACACTAGCTGGAAGCATCAAGTAGATTTTTTTTCATTATGAAAAGAATGATGTATATACAACAACGGCCCAGGCAATGCACCTGCTCTGTAGCAGATTCTTATAAACATCCTAGTCTATTACAGCGGTCACCCCAATATTTTTTTAACGTAGGTCGATTTGCCATCTGGCGGTGAAACTTTGATACTAGCTACAAAAGACATGTCGAAAATATCGAAAGTGAGGAGGTAGGCTTAGCATAGGTACCTCGACCTGGTCGAGAGTTTAAAGATCTAAAGGTTTCGATACCTCTACTACTTCGAGCAACTTCGAGTAATGAATGGTGGAATGGGATTAGCATTGAGTATCAAGTGCAAATTTGAAGTAGGACACGTGTCGTCACATTACTGGCCGAATAGTACTAGTATAAGATTTCGTCGTATGTCGTATATTGTAATTATTTTCAGTAGATACTTCGTTTGTTGTGGGTGTCGTTTGTAATAGTGTCATTCAGGTATACACTTGTTTTCCTAGTTAGGTATTTCTTTAGTGTCATATGCATATTTTTGATGTAAAATTAAAGTTGCAGTTAATGCGGATGTACGCTGTTGTTCTATTACAGATTATATTAATGAAATGAGTGACCTGGGCGACTGGTTTAAGGGAATACCATTTTTCACACGATGGTGGCTTGCACTCACTGTAGGATTTACGCTCTTTGGTCGTTTTGGAATATTCAAAAGCCATCAATTAGTACTCCTCTATGAGCCTTTTATAAAGCAGTTTCAGGTAAGATTTTTTTTTTTTTACATTTGATGGAGTATCACATTTGGAGCAAACGAAACTTTCGTCATATAACAGAATCAAGAAAAATATGAAAGATCCATTGCATGCCAAATTGTCAGTCCATAATTCGACAATCGTGGGCTGGTACGCCCAATAGGAAATGCTGTTCATGGAAAATATCGGCACCTGTGTCCTTCAGTTTTTGTGGAGCAGTGGTGCAAAAATCACAATCAGTTGCATATACTGATAATTATTATAAGTCTCGTTTTGTACAAGCTACAGAGCTCATGTGGGGCTTGTTTGTAAGCTAATGAAATGGTGCTTTGCAGATTTGTAACTCGACATTCAAGAAGAATAGTTTTTCTTTCACTGTCACGTGATGCAGCAGTTAACCCTCAATTTCTTACAGCGTAATCTACCTTCTGCAAAGTATGTGTGTGCATGTAGGGGGTCCTAATTTTATAGTCTAACATAGAGTTAAATGTCATCCTGGGAGAGTCGTGGGATCTGTTGTAATAAAATCATGATGTTATACACTCTCAAGTCTTCTTCAATGAATCTGCTGCACAAGTTGCAACCTGTTCTCAGTTTTCTGTAATGCATCTCTCTGCAGCCATCAGTATTGTGTTACATGCTATAGCTTTTCTTTTTGCATTTGTCAGTTTGTCTTACACTGTAACAGTGTAAAAGTGCTGTAATTTGCGCGTGGCAGTGAATCATTTTCTACATTAATTGTGCATATCGTTACTCGTTATTAGTTGCAGTTAATGTTTTGTGAGAATGAAATTGTGGAAGAAATATTGCTGAGTAAAGTTGGAAGACATATTAATGTGTCCAGCATAGGTCGAGGGGAAATAAGTGGAGTAAGAGGCAGTGGATAAGAGCATGGAGGGGGATAAGAATAAACTGAAGGGTGGGGAGGTGATAGCAGAGGAGCAGCAGCAGCAGGAACAATTTGAGCCACCTTCATTGCAGTACACTTTGTTTTACATCTTCTTTTCAGCCTGAGTGTTGATTCACCTACGCTGAAGGGTTAGTTGTATCTGCTATATGCGTTTATTTCAATTTCACTGTCAGATCTTTCCAATAAGCCATCTTCCCTCTGTAACATAAGGTTGTTAGAGTCAAACTAATGCAAAAAATTTATTTCTCCACTTATCATGCACCTTGTACTCACTTCTTCAAGGTAACATTTTCTGTATCATCCATGGATGAACATCTCTTGTGTTGGATTTAAGGTTGCCACAGTGGAAGTGGTGATGGTGATGATGATGATGATGATGATGATGGTGGTAAATTATTAATGTTGCTGTTGTTAATGTATTTACCAGTTACCCTTGTTGTTTTAATATTGAAATTATTGGTAGATAAAGTATCTTATCTATATTTACTTAAGAACTCTGAATCATTAAGAAATGCCCATTGTGCAAAAAAGTGTACAAATGATGATGACGATGAAATTGCATACATTCCATGCAATGACTTGAATGCAGACTTAATAATAAGGATAATGAATACAGACTGTTTGAAGAACAGAGAAGCAATGTGTAGCACCATTATAAACTTCTGTTACAAATAAAGCACCAGAGTGATAATATCAGATATGTAGTGTCTACATATTTAGTCTTTCCAGTAAATCATCATAGTGATATTGAATGTCTTGTAAATATCTATTGTGGCAAAGGGCTGCAAATTTTCTTTGTATGTTTTTAAGTTCCTTGGAGTCAGTAGTCATAATATAGTTCCAAGCAGCAGATGCATACCCAAGTTTTGAACTTACCAAAGGAAACTAGAGCATCAAAAAGCTGTTTGTATTGGAAAATGGAAAATATGATTGTATGAGTTAACCCTAGCAATTTTATTGCATGTGACAGGAGAAAATCAACATGGTGATAAAAAATTAAGTTTACAGTCAGTATGTACAACCCAAATCGTGAATACAGTCACTTTGCAATATAAAAAAATTCCCATTATTAATTTAGCACATTTGTTTTCCTGGTAAAAGAAATAACTACAATTTTACTGAAGTTAGTCTTCATAAAATATCCCACACACTAACTGCATACACAGTCAATATCTGACTGCAAGAGTAAACAATTCACAGGCTATGTAATACTCTGAGGTCATAAGCAAAAAGAAGTCCTTCTGGCAAAAGCAGAGTGAAAGTGAAAATGCTAGAATAGTTGGAAGCAGTGACTTTGAGACGGGTCACAGAATTCTAATTTTTTAAATTAATTTCAAACTGTAATTGACAACAAAACAAACAAACTCCGTGGTTTTATTCCGCAAGTGAACTATACCAACCGAGCAACTGCTGCTTGTCGGCAAAGTTAGTGCCAACTTTTGTGGATAGAGGGTGTCACGTGGTCAGTGCACCCATTCCCCATGGCCGTTAATTTTGGTTTTCTAGACTGGAGCCTCTGTTCCCTTGAAATAGCTTCTCAGTTATCCCCACAAGGCTGAGTGGAACCTGTTCCAGACACACTGCTTCTCAGAAAATCTGGTAGCGCCAAGAATCGAACCCGGGACTTCTGGATCTGTAGCCAGGAATTCTGACCACTAGACCATAGAGGTGGCCGATCATGTGTGATATATTTAAAAAAGGAAAATTTGGCCTGTAATTACCAGCAGAGGAACTTTTGCATTTTGTAAAACAGGAATGATTACTGCTTGGTTCTACAAGTCAGGAAAAGTCTTCTGAGATAAACTTGAGAACAGATACAAGCGTGTCAGAACAACCCTTTGAATCAAAAGTAGGTATACCATCAAGTCCAACTGATTTAAATGACCACAACAGTTTTATACCATTTTGAACATCAGAGTTATAAATAGAAGCTAAGGATAAAACTTTCATGCATAGATTCAAAGAAGAAAATATCCTGGCACATGAACTGTTATAAATAGACTTGAGTTTTATATGCTTCTCATTGTTCCTGGTGGCTTTGAAAAGCTGTCGCAACCTTCTTGTTTACAGTCTGATTTGCCTGAAGCTGTGTAAATTTCTGGCTCAGAGTTGCTTCTCTGAAAACAAGCACAATTATATCTGATGTCATAGGCACCACATCTAATATGGTTTTGCTTCCCATGGAAGGGCTTAGTACAGATTAAATGAAGATCCTTTCTTGTGTCCATGAGGGTCAGCAAAATTATCACTGAAACTCACTGTAAGCACTTGTAGGTCACCTAGCAGGAGCACATGTACAAACATGTCTGCTTGAATTCTACTGTTGTAATAACATGATAATTCCCACTTTACTGCTGCATTTAATCAGTGTATGAATAATACCACCAAACGACAGCTAAGTTGCAGTTTTGGTAAATAATTGAATGTTTAATCATGTTTATGTTTTGTATTACAGATATGGAGACCAGTAACTGCTCTTTTCTATTACCCACTGACACCATACACAGGATTCACTTTCCTGATAAACTGCTACTTTTTATACAACTACTCACAGAGGCTTGAAAGAGGTAACATAATTATGAAGACACAAGTTAAATAAAATGAACACATGTCACATGAAAATTTGCATTTCACTATTATAAAGGTCACCAAGATGCCATCAGCTGATGAAAGATGTTACCATATTTTCTGTGGTTATGAAATATCTCTTACTTGAGAAAGAATATAAGTTACAAGTTATTGAAAAGAAAATGTTTAGAAAAATATTTAGACCTAATCTGTATCATCATGTCTGTCAGTGGGCAATTTAAAATATAATAAGACATTAGTAACATGGCGGACATAACAGTGGTGAAGTTTTAAAATTATTTGGATCTCCCATTAATATGTAAGTACTGAAATGAAACTCTCAAAATATACTCGTATAATATTTTTGAAATTCCTGGTTGCCTCTCCATATAGATCGAAGCATTTGAAGGAAAGTAGGCATCAGAAGTTCTTTCCAGAACTCATTATGTTTACTACATGATAGGGTTCTCATATTCTTTAAAAAAACAGGACTTCANCCCCAAACCAGGACATTCGGTAAAAAAAATGGGACACAGCGCTGCTAGTGATAACTACTTTTCCATTTCACTAGTATTCTTCATACTTAAATAGTTACTTATGCTGTTATTGGACGCTTTGTTTTGAACAGACAGTTTATGTTTTTTATTCTTTTCACATGATTGATGACATCCGACTGACCACCGTAAGCAATGCAAAATTTTGTGTTGCATAATGTGAATTCAGCATTCTCTTTCACACCTTTAATAAACAGACATTTTCTCTTAATACTGTCATTAATACTGCACTTGCATTTTGTTATCACTATATGGTTGGAAACAGATAAATTCTCAGGCTCTCACAATACAACGTAACGGTCTACAATGAATGCAGAGAATGATAAAAGCAGAACTTCCATTAAGGAAGAAATCAAAATACTACCAACATAAATGGAAAAAAGACATATTGCCAACAGAAAACTAATAATTTGTGAATTTGTGGTTTATGTATTAGCCACCAGGAGTGTTCATATCATTACAGAAATGCCAACTGGAGAGAATAGCATCCATCACCAGGCGGTTATGGATAGAAATTAATGTTACAGAAGAACACTTAAAGAGTGGGACATTATATGAAAAAACGGGACTGTTCCAGGAAAAATGGAACAAATGGGAACCATAATATAAAGAACTTGATACTTAAAGTTAGGCCTTATGTTTGTAACATAAGCTTGTATTGCTGTTTTAAGTGTCCAGCATATAAAGGTGTGGAAAAGATTTGAATCTTTCATATCACATGTGTGTGTAAGATTTATGACTCATTCATTGGATATCTTATTGCCCACATATCTAGAGACTTGAGCAGTATGGAATATCAGATTCATGTAAGTAAAGTTCCCTGTAGATACGTACATCCAGTGGTGTGTTGAATCCAGAAATTGTTCAAATTAGGGTTGCAGTCTATACTTGTGGAAATTGAACAGAGATGTAGGTCACTGAATTTTGAAATCATCGTGACATGACGCCTGAAAGCTGGAGTAGTTCATTGCTAGGCAATGGCAGTAAAAGGTTCTTGCAGAAATATACACACACACAACAAGAGAACTATTGTGCCTATGTAGTGGCAAGGTAAAGACACCTCTGTAGCAATAGAGGAATTGTTAGGAAACTGTATTTTTTATGTGGTTTGTGCCGAGATGTTATAAGCAGGATAGTTTGAAGCAATGAGTTAGTTAGTTGTCAGAATTGAGAGAGTTTCTGGAGATGGCAGTCAAATGATTGAGAAGAGATTGCAAGAAAGGAGTTAAGCTGTTCATATGTGCTGCAGTGATGGTGAGACTGTTATAAATCCATTGCTAGGATATGGCTAGTGAAGATTGTGTGTGTAACAGTGAACTGTAAAGAGTGTAGATTAGTGATAGCGCTATAATTAATTATATTTCTGAGTTCTGTGTATAAGGTGTCAATAAATCCTGTCATCAATCCAAAACCCATCAATAACCCTAATATAACATTCACATGTTACAGTTCTTGCTAGTGAAACTTTTGAAGGACATTAGAAATTGTTGTTTTAAAACTTGTTTTTAGGTAGTTCTTCTCTGAGAGGCAAGTTTCCATGTAGTTTTATATTACATTTCTAATATCTGTGATTATTTATTAGTACAGGTAGTATGGATTTCATATATAAATATAATGTAAGTATTTGTAGTTAAGGTGATTTATTTGTGATTTATTTTTAGGAATGTTTGATGGTCGACCTGGAGATTATTTCTTTATGTTGCTCTTCAACTGGGCATGTTGCGTTATTGTTGGTTTAATTGCCGATATACCAGTAAGTATTACTTCTTATAATGTTTTTACCATAAATCAGACATTAGATCTGCTGTAATACATATAATATTCAACTTCCATGATATTGGGTTATTGTAGATAAAATTAGGTAAATTCTTTAAACTAGAAGCTCACTATCTTATAGTTTCTATTTCCAATTTGGCTCTAATTTATTCACAATTTAATCTTCTTATACTTCTATATGATGAGCCATGATAGTTCATTCAACAGTGTTACTAGCAATGGGTTGGGCATCTGGAATTTGATTCCTGGTAGGGGCAGGAATTTTTATTTTCATCAGGACTTTCATATATCTGAGATCCACTTAACCTACTAATCAGTAGGTTCTATGGCTTTCTTTTGCAGGTTGTCAGCAGAAGAAGCTGATGACTTACCTCCATCGGGTATTGAGATTAAGAATGTGCGAAGCTTTGTATACACTCCTCCATGTGTATTAAAGGCATGGGACATTCTTAAATTTTATCTGTCCTTTCCTGAACATCCTATCCAATGGATACCAGGGGCTCTTTCCATGGGGGTAAAGCAGCTGGGGCATGAAACTGACCACTCACCTCGAACTGGTGCCGAGGTCAAAGAAACATGGATCTCAACATCCTTTCGCTCTTACGTCTTCATGATGTAGTGCGTAGTTAGTTAAGGACAGGAACAGCTTTACCTTACCTATCCTTTCCTATTTCATTCTGCATCAAGATTGACAGAAGGTATTTGGCCTTTGTAACAACAAACAACTATCTAAGTTTAACCCATTCTTAAGTAACCTAACTAGTGTCGTGAGAATACCACAGGTATTTGTTTCCTGCCCAGAACAGTCTGAAACAGTGAGAGGCTTTATTGTAATTTATTTTCAGCTTTAGTTTAGAATGTCAAGAATGTGGTAGTAGGTGAGCCAGGATGCGATTTTGAAGGTGCAGCAATATTGTTGAGTTTGCTTGCTAGAAAGTTAAGGAATATCATATTTGACCATTGTATATTTTAGAGTAGGAGATATTTACGCCGTGGAGACAGATGTTTGTGCTATGCACAGAACTATAATTGGCCATGGTGACACTATATGAGACCCAGCTGTTGCATGTTTCTTCTCTGAGTTCATCTATTGTAACCACGGATCACTGTGCTAATTAATTAAAGCAGTATGTTTGATCTCCCGACTTGCTACTTTTGTACTGCAAGAATTGGAGGTATTGCATGTACCATGGTTGGCTGGCAGGCAATAGAAGGCCAATATTTAATCTCTATTAATATTCACACAAAAGTTACTGTGAACAAAATATTATGTATTTAGAATGTCTGATTCATAGGTATGCCATGTTACATGATAATATGCTTGCAGCTTCTTATGATTCCAATGGTGCTCAGTGTACTTTATGTATGGTGTCAACTGAATAAGGATGTCATTGTCAACTTCTGGTTTGGGACCCAGTTCAAAGCAATGTATCTTCCATGGGTCCTGTTTGCATTCAATTTTATAATTTCTGGAGGGTAAGTGTGTGTTTGTAGTTGATGTGTAATTTAAATTCTGGGTGGAGGCATGATTCAGAACATACTCTGTCTCAGATGAAATAAATGCAGGGCATATTGGTTTAATGTATATAAATTATTTACTTCTGCTAGAGACATGTGTTACAGTACTGGAATATAAGTACATCATAGTACTAGAGCATTTACATGGCACTGTGCAAAATAAGTCAATGTATGTCTCAGTTGCAGTTACAAAATTACCTCTTTATGATGAATTCATACTCATATCAGTAAAGGAAAGAGTAACTGGTATTAATTATTAAATGTGTACCTGTTGTCTAATGCTTAATGTATTTTCTGTATGTTCTTTGCACAAACTGAATATGCATGACAGCCCATCTGTTGTCATGTAACTTGAAAGTTACCAAAGGAGCTTTCATGAAATTTATTTCAAGATGTTCTATATGGAAATTATCTGAGCAAGTTTAAGTACAATTTTTGTATATGATAGTCTAAGTTTTGTTATTACATCACTATGTATGTTAGGAAGTAGTTGTGAATAGGTACAGAAGATAGTGGAAATAGAATGTTGCTTGAGTTCTTGTCACAGTATCCATGTTTGGCACAAAAATTTGTCAAGATGGCACTGCTTAGTGAATATTGTTGTTCTGTCAAGTTTAGCACATTGGCATGAAGTAGCTGCTTTTTGTAGAACTTTTCATGTTATTGAGGTTAAGTATTTTTGATTAAATTTGTTTTTAATAATTTCATGTTGAAATATCCATAATTTTTATGCTATTGAAATGTAATTTGTGATTGTGCAGTATGAATAGCTTTGCAGCAGTGTTGGTCAGTATTGAAACCAGACCTGAGTCACTTCATTAATTTCATTCCTCCAGGACATAAATATTTTATTTGCAACCTGATTCAGTTTAGATGCCTTCAATTTGGGAATGACAGAAGTTGACATCTAGGTTTGAAAATTGTTTTGTATCTGAAATGTTAGATTTGTGTGAAGAGTAAATGGGCATCAGAATTATAGGAAAATAATTTCTGCATTTTGAGTAGTATGAATAGCTTTGCATCAAGTATGCATGTTAATCACTATTAAAACCAGGATTTATTACTAATTTTATCCATAGTCAAGTTCAGAATTTGCTATTTACTGACTGCCATCTTCAGGGAAAACAGATTTGTATGTTGTGTATCTGATTTACATGAGCTGTAAATAAGGATATAGGCCAGTGAGGCAGCAAAATTAACAAGAATGTGTATGGAAAATGTGTGAATTCAAATTTTTAGTATATCTTTCCATTTTTGTTCTCATAAGGGTAATGTAGTTATGTTGGTCTTTCAGCGGAATCTTGGAGTTAGTGGGGATATTGGTTGGACATCTGTACTTTTTCCTAATGTTCAAATACCCTCTGGAATTGGGTGGACCAGCTTTACTGAGCACACCATCTATAATGTAAGCTTAAAATAAGTATAATTATTACTCAGCATTATTACATTGTGCCTCAGCACCTTATTACATTGAAACCTTAGTACAGGGTTTGTCCGGAAAGTAATGCAATATATTTTTTCCCACCGCTTCTCCTGGTCGCAGCGCTTTTGGACTGGTTGGGAAGGGGGGGGACTCTTAGCTTCACAACCCTTCCAAGCCCAGTCTGCTCTGAGCTCTGGGAGCGTCAGGATCGCTGTTTCCCTGAACCTCCTGTTAGTGCCTGTGTCACGATGCGCAATGGAGAAAACTATCGAACGTTACGTGATCAAGTTCTGTGCTAAACTGAACAAAAGCCTTGCTGACACCCACCAAATGATTCAGGAAGCCTACGGGGTGCTCTCTCATATTCTCAAGTCTCCAGATGGTTGAAGTTGTTTAAAAATGGCTGGGAAGAGGTGGAGGACGACCCTGCTCTGGACGGCTGTCAACCAGCAAAAGTGACAAAAATGTGTCTCGTGTTCATGATCTTTTAAATACCGATCGTCAAATGAGTGTTCGGATGATAGCAGAGACTCTCACTGTGCACGACATCGTTACCGACAATTTGCACACGCGGAAAGTGTGTGCCGAGTTGGTCCCCAAATTGTTGACTGACGACCACAAGAACAACCGAGTGACGATCGCGAGTGATCGCAGACTTCTTTCTGTTCCCGAGGAACAAGACCGCCTTGAAAGGAACCTATTTTGGAACCACTGAAGCGATCCAAACCGCTGTGACAAAGGCCCCCGTTGACGTCTTCCAGGATGTGTACCGTGCATGGAAAAGTCGCTGGCAAAAGTGTGTGGATGTCCAAGGGGAGTACTTTGAAGAACTTTAAACGTTTGTAACGATATCTTGAATAATTTTTTTTTACGAACTTAAATGCATTACTTTCTGGACAAACCTGTAGTTTCATGTTACAGAATTTGTTATATATGGAGTGATTATATAGTACTTCTTAGTTAAATTATTTTCTCACACTCAGTGTTTTAAAGTGCAGGCAGCTGCATCACTTTTTTACTGTAATAATCACTGTTCTGTGGCAGTGTAATATTCTGATAGAGATATGTTTTTTTTTAATTTGAGATAGAGAAGAAATTCGCTGCTCCTTATTTAGGCTCGGCACGGACAACACAGAAAACAGTTACGTGATAGGTACCGTTGTTGCATAACATTGTGTTTACCGATTGCCTAGCAACAGTCATTGCACGGGCTCCCTTGCTGCATGACGCCGTCTTTACCGATTGCCTAGCAACAGTCGCTGCATGGTCTGCCCCGTTGTGTGACGTCACAGTCTAGCGGGAGGCGTGTTTACCAAGCGTTGCGTAATGGTGGAAGGAGTGGAGGTATGTGACATCACTCGCGAGAACACAGAGTTCACATGACCACTACTTCCTGCTGCGGAATCCACGTCACACTAGCCCGTGCAACGACTGTTGCTAGGCAGTCAGTAAACATGATGTTACACAACAGCGGTACCTATCACGTACCTGTTTTCTGTGTTGTTCCTGCCGAGCCTAAATAAGGAGCAGCGAACACTATTCAGTAGTGAGTGATTATTGAGCCAGTTACTGCTGAGTGAGTTACTAGTGAGAGGGAGTAACCACTCAGTTGCAGTCTAGCATTCGTCGGAGTGAATGGAAGCAGAAGAAGTATTTGTGATACTGCCGATGGCAGTAGTGGTGTAATTGTGAATTGTGTAAGTGTAAGAGCGAGTGGAATAAATTCGCTGGATCCAAGACGGCGTGAAGTTATGTGTCGTGTGATACACCCAACATGTGACAGTATTAATAGGGGCAGGAGGGTAACGGTAATGAACAACTTATAATCAGTTGTAAGGTGAAGGGGACTAGGAGAACAAGTGAACTTGATCACCCATTGTTTGTATTGTGTAAGACTACTGAAGTGCTGAATCTTTGTGTTCCCCAACCAGGTAGTTACTTGCTTAGAATCCATGACATTGCACTGTTTCTTGGAAGTCCAAAAGCTTCACGAATACATATTGCAGGTCACATTCTTTCTTAATGACAGCATTAATATGTGTGTGGTCTCAATTCGTGAATTCTTAACTTATGTTTTTCAGATACAGCTTTTTTCCCAGTGACCCAAGGGGTGGCATTCATGGTTTTGGGCAGGCACCTGCTTCACGGCGTCCAGCTAATGATGGTGGAGGAAGGGGTGGTGGTGGGAGGCACAACTGGGGGAGGGGCCATGTTCTTGGTGACAATTGAACAGTGATGGAATGCAGAATTTTTTGGCAGTAGTTTGGCTCCACTTTTCTATGTTGACTTTCAACAAAAGTGCTTATAATTTAATTATATTATTAGGAAAGTATCCATTTTCCCGTAAATGTAACTCATCCTTGTGGTGAATTATATTTGTAAGAGCTTCACTGACTTCTGTTAAGACTTCAGGTTCTCTTTTGAACTGGTGTGTAGGCAGATAATTGTGCCTGACTGAAATGTGTCGCCAAAGATTTCTAAATTTACAAGATTACTAGGCACAGAGATAACTTTACCTTACCTTTTACTGTACAGATTTCAAAATCAGTAACATGCACTGTCAGTGGCATAATGTTGAAGCAAGGATGAAGAAACAGTGTGCAAAGCCATGTAACAATTGCTGTAAAAGTGGTTGAGGGAAAGCAACCTGTGCAGAAAACAACCATGACATTTTAAGGCAGTGTAATGATGAAGGAAGCTCTAATTCTCACCAATGTACTTGATCTCTGTGATGAACAGTCATTCAATCATTTCTTGTTTTAAAATGTCGACTGAAATATACATTGGAACAACCAGTGTTCACATGTGATGCTTTTGAATATCCATGTACAGTACCTATATTAAAAGCAGTAGAAGATTCTGGTGTTCAGGCTGTTACAGTTCCACATAGAGAAAGCATTTGTAGAATTTGTAAACTAAATGAGTGGTCATTACTGTACAAAAAGAAATTAATTGGAACACTGAATGCTAACTGAGGAGGAACTGGATAAAACAGGTGCTAGGCTTTGAACTTTCTTAGGAAGACTTCAGACGTCTTTCTCACAAAACTAGAGGTTTGAAGACTTCAGTGCACACATTGTCACAAAACTTCTGAAAATGAAACCATATAAGGCGGAAGTAGGGCATGAATTACATCTGTGTGATCCAGTAACAGAGTGAATTTTTGTGTTTACAAATCCATTAGTCTGTTCATAAAGGGGAAATAATGATTGGCTGTTTTTCTTTTCCAATGAGGCTTTTCCTTGCTTACATGAAAGTTAGGTGCACAGAACAGCAAATGCTGGAGTTCACACAACCCAACTAACAATGCATGAGATTTGAGTATACGGACCGCCTCTGTGATCTAGTGGTCAAGAGTTCCTGACTACAGATCCAGAGATCTGGGCTCGATTCCTGGCGCTACCAAATTTTCTGAGAAGTAGTGGGTCTGGAACGGGGTCCACTCAGCCTCGTGAGGAAAACTGAGGAACTCTTTCAAGGAAATAGCAGCTCCAGTCTGGAAAACCAAGATTAACGGCCATGGGGATTCATTGCACTGATCATGCAACAACCTCTATCCTCTAAAGTTTGCACTAACTTCGCCAACAAGTTGTGGTTGCTCGGTCAGTATACTTTGCTTGCAGACTGAAAGCATGCAGTTTGTTTTTGTTTGATTTGAGTATATATATGAGTACTTGCAGGGTACATGAAGCAGATACCACACGCACATCTGTTAAATGGCTAATGGACAAAGAATGCCAGCCAGAATTATACCAACAGATCTCGGATCCTACAGATATGGTGAAGGTGTACATGTCCAATTTTGAGGGAAGTGTTTGTGGACAGTATGCTCCGCAAGTCTCAAATGATATGTCTTGTATTTATTAGGAAGCTAGTAAATCAAACCCTCACACCATTGAAGAACTGACGGAAATTGTCCAAAAAGAAGTTTTCTCTGTTTACCAAGAAAAACTTCAGTGCATAAATATAAACATTTTATAGAGGTGTTAGTAATGCATACCAAACAATGGGGAGTATTTCCAGCATATGCTTATTTTGAGTAAGATTTATTTGTAAACCTTTCAGGCTTCAGGTTTGTGGATTCGTTCCAGCAGTAGAAGTCTGCAGAAGCTTGAGTTGACCAATTGAACATCTGACTTATATTTGAGAGGTTCACTGATTTACAGTGGCACACACAAAAAATCTCTTTGTACTCTTTCCACTGTTCAGAACTCATGCAAGACATGTTCCTTAAAGCAAGCACTTCTTATATATATATATATATCACAGTGACTAAGATGCAGGTTTGGATTGGTAGTTGGATTTATTGGGTACTTAGAGATCATAACTACAGTTATTACAATATTGCTGCACGCAATGTACAGTCACTCCACGCTAATCTCTTCAGTCTATCTGAACTAGTCTTCATGGGTTTATAACACAGGAACTTTAACAGCCTTACTGAATCGCACACTTCATATATTACACATAAATAAAGTCTTGTAATCACATGTTAAGTCTTCACAGGCCAATTTCTAGTTCTTGAACTACGAACTTCCTGTGGCTGTCTCCTTGCTTGCTTGTTCCTGTTATTGTTTGTAACTCGTAACTGCTTTACTTATATAGCCGAGGAACGGACATGGACCTATAGTAAACATATATCACATGATTGCTATCCAGCTAGCCTATTGGTGCATCAGTCAGATCTACAGAAAACACGTCACATGATCACTATCCACTGTTGTGATGTCGCCACGGTCATGGGAAACACAACATCCTCTATTGTTGCATAACATAGCAATGAACTATTTACCAGGAATCTGTCTTCGCAGGAACTTGTTTACCAGTACGTTGCTTAGCAGTGGCTTTACATATAACAATATATAAAATGATATGTGAGATTATGATATTAACATAATAACAAAGAACAAAACTTTGTTCTCTTGCAAGGGTATAGTAAGATAATAAACAATATATTTTGCTCTTTCAGCATACAACTCTTAGAAACATGTGAACACTGTTTAGACGGAAGGTTGTTTTGTTCATGGTTCTGCTGTGTATTGTCTAGAAATATGTAGTTAATTGGAGCTGTGGTGCTTCAGCTATGTATACTGGACTTTATGAAGAGATTTTGTTATTTTTGTGTCTTAATATTTTGTAAAATAAAGACAAAAGAAATATGGCTACCAGTCCTAAATTATGAAACAGCATGCTCATTCTGCAAGAATCTGAGGAGCGTGGTTGATCGACAACTGGGTAAATGAACGTTAATACAGGAAAACCTATTTTTAACTCAGTTGTAAGGGACCTGAACATTTTTCAATTTCTGACAAGTTTGTTTTCAATAGGGATACTAGTGTCCACCTAACAAGGTTTTGTTAGGCACAAATTTTATGATACCCGTGGGACACGTGGTAGCATGGTTGAGGCACTGTGCTACAAGCTGGAAGGTCATGGAATCAAATCCCAATGAGATCATTGGATTTTTTTTTCAGTTTACATAATCCTTTCAGCTGCATTATGGCCCTGGGGTTCACTCGGCCTCTGACAGAAATGAGTACCAGGAATATTCTTCATATGTTCTTGGGGATAAAGGGTGGCCAGCACGTAAGGCTGACAACCCTGCTGCCAGGGGAATGAAACTCAATGCTATTGGCGGGCAACACAGCCACTGCTGCCGCCAGTGCCGAGGGTTCGGTCGGTAAGAAGGTATGCTATCATACCACCTGCCGTGTCGGTAAGAAAGTATGCTATTATACCACCAGCATTTTTTTACTGCTCCCTCCCCAAAAAATCACTGGTTCACACATATAGCTAGAATTAATAATCGATGTAAATGAAATGTTCTTATTTTACAGGCACTGGTGAGAAACTTTCTCCCGATAAGTAATGTTGCAACCTGATATCTTGTACTGCAGAGGTTCTTACTCCGTTGTGTTTTCTGTTTTCAAACTTCGCTCAAAACCATCTGGAGGGGAATGAGTTAAATGATATCAAACTCAGTTCAAAAACAGAAAACACACAACAGAGTAAGAACCTCTGCAGTACAAGATATCAGGTTGCAACATTATTTATCGGGAGAAAGTTTCTCACCAGTGCCTGTAAAATAAGAACATTTCATTTACATCAATTCAGCACCCCCTTACTGAAATGCAATAGATATTTGAACTATAACATATATAGAATACTTGTGCTTAGGAAAGCTGATGGTGGGTAAACTTGAAAGAAAATTCTGTTTCCATCAGAGATACTTGTAAGCAAAGTTATGAAGTTGAATATAACATATAGTTGAAAGCTACGCAAAACATAGCTTTTCAGTTACATTAATGTGTTATAAATCACGTATAGGGAGTAATAATACTGAGGTTTCAGTAGAATAATGAAACTTGAGAATCTAATACACACTCTTGTTAACAAGATTAAGATTGCATTTAATAATATATGAAAAGCAATAAAATAATTGCAGAACTCTGACAAACATCATACATACATACATACATACATAGCTTCACAGATTCGTTGCCCGTTTATTGAGCTCGTCATAATAATTATAAGTAGCTGTGATATGCAACCAAGTCCAAGTAGACACAACCTAGATAGAATAGGAACATAATACAATTACGTATTTGTCATATATTCATCAATAGAATAGAAAGTTTTCAAGATAATAAAGTCTTTTAGTTTTTGTTAAAATAAATTAACATCATCCTTTAAAATATATAATTTATGTGGCAAATTATTAAAAATTTTTATGGATGTATAATACACTCCCTTTTGTATAATGGATAGTCTAGCTGTGACGTGACGTGTAGTCTATTTTGTACTCTAGTGTTAATTTTATGTACACTATTATTTGTAGGATACTTATTTTTGTTTTCAATTACAAACATGACCATGGCATATATAAACAAACAGGGAACTGTAAGTATCCCTAATTATCTGAAAACCTCTCTACAAGAACTTCTAGGCC